ACTACCACCAAACACACATGCACACACAAATCCTATGACACACATACCCTATCACCAAACACACATGCACACACAAATCCTATGACACACACACCATCACCAAACACACATGCACACACAATCCTGACATATATATACCATCACCAAACACACATGCTCACACAAATCCTATGACACACCATCATCAAACACACATGCACACACAAATCCTATGATACACACACCATCACCAAACACACATGCACACACAATCCTGACATATACACCATCACCAAACACACATGCTCACACAAATCCTATGACACACACACCCTATCACCAAACATATACACACAAATCCTATGACACCCCATCATCAAACACACATGCACACACAATCCTGACATATATTCAGCATCACCACACACACATGCACACACAAATGCGAGCATGATTGCCTGTGTATACCCATGCACACACATGGACACAACTACACATGGGTATGCACACATCAAACACATCCTCATGGACAACTGGATACTCATATTTTCAACTATTTGAGTTTATCTACGGAAACAGCACCACCAGCTCCAGAGAGCCTGCAAGCAGGGCAGGAAGCGATGTCTGTGCTTCAGGCTGGGCACCAGCTCGGTGGGGCCTCCTGACTTCAAGTCCTGACAGGGGATTGGAAGCGTGGGGAGAGGGGCAGGCAACACTGGGGCCTAAAAGAAGAGGGACTCATCCGTCACCTGGTGAGATGAGCAACAGCAGGTCAAGGCTGCTCTTCAAGGCAGAGCCTCGTCTCAGATGTAACTGCTAGGGAGCAACTTGTGCTTCGGGTAACTCCCAGGACCGGGGGGCAGCTGGCGTATACAACAGGTGTCCCCAGGACACACAATCCAGGCCTCACTGGAGAGGGCCTGCATCTCCCACTCAGGTGGGTGAATCTGGTGCCAGCCGACCATGGCCCGGGCCGGCCCCCTCCATTGTAGAGGCTTCCCGCAGCCCAGGCTGCCCGGTGTACCAGGCAGTTTCCATTATGGGAGGGGTGTGCATGCCAGCCTAACTAGGATTTGAATGAAGTCTCTCACACTGACGGTGCTCCACCACATGAGCCACGCCTCCAACCCTCAGTCTGAGACCCAGCTCAGACACACAAGGCAGGAGCGAGTGTAGACAGGGAAAGTACTCCTGTCTTTCGGTTCTACCCTTAAGCTGGCATTTCTCATCGAGGTGGGAGAGTCCGTGATAGGTGACATTTACTTTGCTCCTCTGATAATGCATAGAGCACTCCACTCTGTGCTCAGAGGTTAGCAGAGTTTTCACAACTGGTGGCTATTTATCATAATAAAGGGCAGGAGGCTGGGCAAAGATGCGGAAACCAACAAGCAAATTCCACTGCTCCGAGTTCATTTGCATTAACTTTCCTTCCTCCACTTTCCCTGGGTGTTTTCCCTTTGGGCTTAGGGAGCCTGCACCATGGCCAGCCCTCTCCCCCAGGGAGGACCCTGCACCGTGGCCAGCCCTCTCCCCCAGGGAGGACCCTGCACTATCCCCAGCACTCTCCCCCAGGGAGGACCCTGCACTATCCCCAGCACTCTCCCCAGGGAGGACCCTGCATGGTGGCCAGCACTCTCCCCCAGGGAGGACCCTGCACCATGGCCAGTACTCTCCCCCAGGGAGGACCCTGCACCGTGGCCAGCCCTCTCCCCAGGGAGGACCCTGCACTATCCCCAGCACTCTCCCCCAGGGAGGACCCTGCATGGTGGCCAGCACTCTCCCCCAGGGAGGACCCTGCATGGTGGCCAGCACTCTCCCCCAGGGAGGACCCTGCACCGTGGCCAGCACTCTCCCCCAGGGAGGACCCTGCACTGTGGCCAGTACTCTCCCCAGGGAGGACCCTGCACCGTGGCCAGCACTCTCCCCCAGGGAGGACCCTGCACCGTGGCCAGCACTCTCCCCAGGGAGGACCCTGCACCGTGGCCAGTACTCTCCCCAGGGAGGACCCTGCACCGTGGCCAGCACTCTCCCCAGAGAGGACCCTGCACCGTGGCCAGCACTCTCCCCCAGGGAGGACCCTGCACTATCCCCAGCACTCTCCCCCAGGGAGGACCCTGCACCATGGCCAGCACTCTCTCCAGGGAGGACCCTGCACCGTGGCCAGCACTCTCCCCCAGGGAGGACCCTGCACTGTGGCCAGTACTCTCCCCCAGGGAGGACCCTGCACTATGGCCAGCACTCTCCCCCAGGGAGGACCCTGCATGGTGGCCAGCACTCTCCCCCAGAGAGGACCCTGCACCATGGCCAGCCCTCTCTCCAGGGAGGACCCTGCACTATCCCCAGCACTCTCCCCCAGGGAAGACCCTGCACTATCCTCAGTACTCTCCCCAGGGAGGACCCTGCATGGTGGCCAGCACTCTCTCCAGGGAGGACCCTGCACCGTGGCCAGCCCTCTCCCCCAGGGAGGACCCTGCACCATGGCCAGTACTCTCCCACGGGGCAGACTCTGCACCATGGCCAGTACTCTCCCCAGGGAGGACCCTGCACAGTCCCCAGCACCTTCCTTCAGGTGGAGCTGCCCGCTTGACTCTCTAGCCCTTGTGAAGCAAAGGTCAGTCGCGCAGCAACCCAGAGACAAGGGGGTGGTCAAAACAGCCCTTTGCTCAGGATGTGGGATGTGGCCACGGCCTCCTACATCCCCTTTCTTAACTCCAAGACCCAGGAAGAGATTGGGCAGTGCCGGCATAGCCGCACAGGGCATGTCTGAGTCTAGGGGCAGCAGCTCTTGTACTACAAGGGCATGGGAGGGGCAGGCATTGGGGGGAGGGGACCTGGGGGGAGGGGCAGGCATGGGGGGAGGGGACCTGGGATGGGAGGGGACCTGGGATGGGAGGGGACACAGGATGGGGGGGGGACATGGGATGGGAGGGAACACGGATGGAGGGGACGCAGGAATGGGCGCCCACCCTGGCTCAGGACCCAGTCTGGAGAAAATGGGCCTATTCCCTATCACCTGGCTGTGGAACAAGCTAGAAGCAGGGACATGGAGTCCCACGGACTCCATGGACACAGCTGCTGAGCCCCAGGGCCGGCCCCTCCTCCCCCCCGCCCCCCGCCCCCCCCCCGTGGGCTGCGGCTGGTGTGGTTTGTCCCACTCCAGTGAGCACCCACACCTCCTCCGGGCTCTCAGGAGTGAGTTAGCTCTGAGGTGGCACATGTGTGTGGACAGCCTCTGGAATGTCCCCCGAGGCTGCGGTGCTGCCGGCGTGGCCCCGCGGCCCTGCCCACCGGACCCTGCCAGGGAGTGGGCCACGGCCAGCTCATACCTGGTGGACGGAGGGGTCATGTGGGCGGGCCTGTGAAAGGTCATGCCCCAGCCTTCCCTGGGCTGCCTTGTCACCTGGGGGGCGGGCCCAGCTCTGTGCCTCGGTGTTCCAACCTTCACAGGCCTGGAGTGCTACTGAAGCCAAAACGAACCTTTCCCCCTTCACATTCACTCAGCTGTCTGTGGCAGCCAGGGAAGGCTGTCTAGCACATGCGGTTACAGAGCCAGGCCACTCCACACGCGTGGTCAGCCTGCGCGTCTCCCATTCTCTATGCTGGTCCTGAAGCCGATCAGTGCCAGCGCCACCCCCAGAGCTCTGTAAGCCAAGTAAGGTTCTCTCTTCATAAGGGCCCGTCCCCTGGCATGTTGTCATAGCAGTAGAGCAACCCGAGGTTCAGCAAAGCGCTCTAGCCTCAGCTACAACTTCTACTCAGTACTCAGGAGCTGGCCAGAAAAGGCAGGAGGTGGAGGGGGCGGCTCTATTATGACCCTCGGTCCAGTGTCTGACCGTGCAGCCGGTCTGCAAGGAGCATGTGGCCAAGGACAGGCCTTGGACTGAACCTCCACTGTATCCACAGATGCAGCTCCGGGTGGGGGGGACGGAGGGGCTGCAGCATGGGGGAGGTGCAGGGAAGGAGGGGCTGCAGCATGGGGGAGGGGCAGGGAAGGAGGGGCTGCAGCATGGGGGAGGGGCAGGGCTGGGCCACACATGATGGCTGCTCAGATGTCTTTGGACACACACTGACCACAATGGCCCTCACTCTCTCGGATCCACATGGCTCAGGCCCTGTCCACCTGAGCAGGGTGGGGGTATGGTAGGGCGGGACTTACCATCTGTGGCCACGTCCCTGATGGGCACATTGTGCTTCTGGGCCATGTACCCCAGGAAGGAGAAGACCACAAAGCCAGAGGAGAAGCTCGTCAGAGAGTTGATGGCAGTAGTGATGATGGCATCCCTGCAGGACAAGATGGGTTGTTATGGTGCCAGCTGAACTGTGTCCCTGGGGGCGGAGCCATGGCCCTGGGGTGGAGCTGTGGCCCTGGGGGCGGAGCCGTGGCCCTGGGGGCGGAGCCATGGCCCTGGGGCGGAGCCATGGCCCTGGGGGCGGAGCCATGGCCCTGGGGGCGGAGCCATGGCCCTGGGGCGGAGCCATGGCCCTGGGGGCGGAGCCGTGGCCCTGGGGGTGGAGCCATGGCCCTGGGGCGGAGCCATGGCCCTGGGGGCGGAGCCGTGGCCCTGGGCGGTGTGGCCCTGAGGAGCTGAGCCACGGCCCCTGGCAAAGCAGCCATTCTTCTCCATCTGCCGAGGTGGGTGTGGACAGGCTCGGAGGAGCGGCATGTCCCACAAGAGCAGCATTTCCCACAAGAGCACCGCTGGTTTGTGCCGCAGGCAGAGCCTGCCCAGGCCTCCTGGACCCTCAGCGCCCAGGGGGTGGACAGCCCGGTGGAACTGCCCGCGTGTCCCGCTGCCCATGGCATTGTCTTCCACACGGGGCTTCCGGAACCTCGGTGGGTGCCCCTGCCCCTGAGGGCCGGCGGCAGCACAGATTCTGTGCTGGTCCTGAGCGCGGCTGCATTTCTCACGCAAGCCTGGTGGTGTCGGTGCTGCCGGCTGGGGACCCCGCTGTGAGGGCTGAGGACATGAGGACAGAGAGCGAAGGGGAGCCGGGGACCCCACATGCCTGTGCGGCCATCTGCAGTACGGGCCAAGCCCCCTGTACGCCCCTGCTGTGCAGCCACGGGCTGTGCCCTCCCCTGGCAGGGTGCCGGCTCGTGTGGACCCGAGGCTCCGGGCAGGAGTTGCCTCAGAGCCCGCCCTCTGACCTCCCCCAGCTGGCTGAGAACTGTACTCTGTGTAATCAGCGCATCGTTTTTGTTTGTTTGTTTGTTTTTTGTCAGTCATGGGGCTTGAACTCTGCTCTTCAGCTCAAGGCTAGCGCTCTACCACTTGAGCCACAGCAACACGTCCAGCTTTTCTTGCTTCTGTGATGCTGAGGAATCGAACCCAGAGCCTCATGCATGGGAGGCAAGCACTCTACCCCTGAGCCACCTTCCCAGCCCTATTCAGTGCATTTTATCCTCATGATGCAAAAGTCAACACAATCCCACGAAAGTCAAGGAAAGCAGGCTGTAGATCTCATCCTGCCTCTCTTTCTGGGAGGATTTGGCGGGGAGCACATGGCTGCGGGTGAGCTGGGGGCTGCTGGCTGAGCGGCTTGGGATCCGGGGTCTGGCCTGGGCTGGGGCAGTTCTTGAGCAGGGCTGCAGGAAGGGCCTGACCAGACCCTGGGCACTGGAGCCAGAACCGCTGGCTCCCCTGTGTGTCACCCCGGAGGCTTCTACCCTCCTGACAGTGAGCATCCAGAACCTGCGGGGAACCATCTGCTGCCAGCCATCTGTGTGGCTCAGAGGTCAGCAGCGGTTTTTCCTCCAGGAACACAATATTTCAAAACTTCAGCCCTCCCCCGCTAGCAGCAGTGCCCCGATGGTTGGGCTCCCCGCCAAGGGGGCAGGGTTACCTATAGCAATTGTTGGTGAACTTGTTGTAGCTGGAGAAGGCAATCAGCACTCCGAACCCGACGCCCAGGGAGAAGCAGACCTGGGTGGCAGCGTCTATCCACACCTGCCACGGCAGAGGGGAGACTGGTCAGAGACAGCCACTGCAGGCGCAGCGTCTATGAACAGCCGCAGGCTACCCACGGCCGGCTCACCTGTCCAGGTGACCCCTGGGCTGCCCACCGGCCGGCTCGCCTGTCCAGGTGATCCCTGGGCTGCCCACCGGCCGGCTCGCCCGTCCAGGTGACCCCTGGGCTGCCCACCGGCTGGCTTGCCTGTCCAGGTGACCCCTGGCTGCCCACTGGCCGGCTCGCCTGTCCAGGTGACCCCTGGCTGCCAACTGGCCGGCTCGCCTGTCCAGGTGACCCCTGGCTGCCCACCGGCCGGCTCGCCTGTCCAGGTGGCTGCAGGCATGGCGTCCCACCCAGCACGCCTCTCACTGAGTTGATGTCAGCTGGAGAGCTCTGTGCGGCTGACTTGCCGGCAGAACTTTGCCCAGGCCACTGGCAGAACCCTGCTTAGGGACTCCCAGGGAGGGGCCCACATGGCATCTTCCCTGGGTGCACATCTCCTCAAGCCTTGTAAACATCTCTTTCCTGCTGTCTTCTTCCTAGCAGTCTGCTGATCTATCTATCTATCTATCTATCTATCTATCTATCTATCTATCTATCTATCCATCCATCCATCCATCTCCTATCCATCTATAAGTCATCTATAAGTCTAACTTCTCTATCAATCATCTATCTGTCTGTGTGTCTGTCTACCACCTATCCATCTATCTGTCATCTATCAATCATCTGTATGTCTAGCTTATCTATCTACCCATCTTTCTGTCACTAGCAGTCATCTATCCATCTGCCTGTCATCTATATCTGTCTGCCTCGCTCCTATCCATCTGCACTCCAACTGCCCCTGCTGCAGTCCTGCGTCTGTCCCCGAGGACTCCACACCTGACCCTGGGCATACCGTGCCTGCACTGCCTGGCACCTGCCCACAGTCCTGCCCAGGCTCAGCCAGGCGCTCCTGCCAGCTGCCCCTTTGCAGCCAAGGGCCACGGCCGGGCCAGACTCACAGAGGCCTCACAGAGCCGGCGAAAGTCCACGCTCAGGTACGCCTTGATGCCCTCAATGGCTCCAGGAAGGGTGACGCCGCGCAGGAGCAGGGCAGTGAGGACCATGTAGGGCATGGTGGCTGTGATCCACACGACCTGAGCAGGGGAGAGTCCACAGGTTACAGCAGGGCCCTTGCTGGGGACAGACACTGGCAGGAGATGGGTCTTCCCATCACCACGCACCCGGCCATGGTGTGTTCGTGGGCAGAGGCCCCGTGCCTCACCTTTCCGGAGGTCTTCACCCCCTTCCACAGGCTGAAGTAGAGCAGGACAATCACCAGCACCAGGCAGGCCGTGAGCTGCCACCGCGGGAGACCCAGGTCGTCGATGCCGTGGCTCTGGTGGAGGTGCAGCACCTCGCGCCTGGAATGAGGAAGGGGGGTTAGCCAGGCACGGTGTGAGCAGCTCCGCCCCAGAACTCGAGCTGACCAGCCAGGCCAGTCCTGTGCCTGCCCTCAGCTCAGGCGGCAGAAAGCACCCGATCCGGTGGTACCAGAGACCCTGCTCTGAAAGATGCGGGACCAGCGAGCCGTGAGATGGACAGGGCTGGGCCGGCTCGCTGGGGACCCCGTGGGAGGCTCACTCCTGACCGTGGCCCTGGGACCGGCATGGTGGAGCTGGGGGAGGAGGCACCTGGGTTTGTAGAGACGCAGAGGCCAGATGAAGGTGCTGGTCCCCAGGGTGTCCAGAACCCTCTGTGGGGTGGCAGAGGCGCACCCAGAGCAACAGCGCAGGCTTCCGGGGTGTGCCTTGAGCTTGGAGAGGACCCGTCAGGATCACCCGTGGTCCATCCACCTTTGAGAGACTCCGTCCCAGAGGGCAACGAGTAAGGTCAGAGGGATGGAGGCCGGCGCCGAAGGCCGCTGGACGCCCCGGGCCCTCGGCACTTTCTCCAGTGCACTCAGCAAATCCTGGTGACGGCTTTGGGGGAGAGGCCCTGGCCCTGTGCAGCTCCTTTGGCAGACATGGGCTGTGTCCAGGCCACTGTAACAGCTGCTTTGGCCGCTGGACGGTGTGGGACTCAGAAGCCGCTTCGGCCCACGCTTGTTTTAACTGTGGAACAGCCTAGTCCCTGACAAGGAGCAGCAGACAGGCAGCAGGGGGCCGTACGCTCTTTCACATCCAGGCCCACAACCCGATGCGGCAGGTTTGAAGCCGGGACGGGCCCGGGCACCCGGGGCCTGTCAGGGGCCTGAGCCCAGCAGAGGCCGCGGCTGGCCAGGCAGGCGCCTGTGGCCTCACTGAGCCGTCACTGTCTCCTCTCTTCATGGCACTCACGAGAGCTCAGGCAACACAGGTGCCGTGTGATGGAGTCCTGGGGTGCCCGGAGGTCAGCTGACCTGGAGGAGCTCCACGGAGCACCTGCTCAGTCACAACACGCCGCCTGTCCTGCCTGGCGGAAGGAATCCCAGTGTCCCCCTCCCCATCTCCTGTCTGCCCTGGCCTGGGGCCCCATTCTCCCCTCCCCCCTGCAGCTCTAGTCCCCAGGATTCTTCACCAATGGCGATCTATGACGGCAATGCCACCGAAGACTCATGGGGGGCGAGGCAGGCACGTGGGGGCTGAGGGTGTACAGTGTGTGAAGATGCGCACTGTGCTGGGGGGGGGGGGACACAGGGATGGAGAGACAAGGTGAACAGACGGAGCAGCGCACTTGCCGGACACCATGTTGAAATGAACCATGCGATCTGTGGGTGGGGACAGGAGGGAAACACTGGGGCGGAGCGAGGGAAGAGGTGGCATTGTCCAAAAAGAAACGTACTCTTTACCTGACTTGTGTGACTGAGACCCTCGCCTTTCTAATAACAATAAAAGCCATGTCTAAAACGATGCTCACTATGAACTCTCTATACACAGCAAAAGCTGAGGTGCTGCAGCTCAGCGCCAAGAGTGCAGGAAGATGATGCTTGAAAGCTGGCTCCAAAGAAGGAATAGAAAGAGAACCAAAGAGGAGCAGGACAGACAGAAAAAATCAAGAAGACTTAAACCCGAATGTATTCATGATTATGGAATAAAAATTTCAATTGAAAGACATACATGCTCCAGGTGCCGGTGGTTCACACCTGTCACCTTAGCTACTCGAGAGGCTGAGATCCCAGGATCACAAGTTGAAGCCCACCTGGACAGGAGAACCTTTGAGTATCACTCTTATCTCCAGTGAATCAACAAAAAAATCTAGAAGTAGCCGGGCGCTGGTGGCTCACGCCTGTCATCCTAGCTACTCAGGAGGCTGAGATCTGAGAATCACAGTTCAAAGCCAGCCTGGGCAGGAAAGTCCATGAGACTCTGATCTTCAATAAACCACCAGAAAACCAGAAGTGGCGCTGTGGCTCAAGAGGTAGAACACTCGCCTTGAGCTGAAGAGCTGAGGGATAGCGCCCAGGCCCAGGGTTCAAGCCCTACAACCAACAAGAACAACAAAAAAGTTAGAAGCAGAGGAATGGCTGCGGTGGTAGAGCACCAGCCCTGAGCAAAAATGCTAAGAGACCGCGCCAAGGTCCTGAGTTTAAGTCCCAGTACTCTCTCTCTCTCTTTCTCTTTCTCTCTCACTATCGCTCTCGCTCTCTTTTACACACATACACATGACATATTATCATACAGGATCAAAAGGCAAAAACCAGTGCTGTGCTACCTACTAGCAACCCAACTTAAATGTAATGACACGTGCAGGTCAGGACAGAACAGGTGTGCCACCGCCATTAGTCACAGGGAAGGCAGTGCAGCCAACCCCAGGCACAGGGCTTTAAAGAGAGGAACACAAGCGAAAATGACATGGCCCCAAGGGAAGGAGCAAGCAGGAAGGGCCGGGCCAGCTAGCCCCGTGAGTACTTCACACTGAGCACTCCTGGGCCCAACCTGAGGGAACAGCGGAGGAAGGGATCAGACAAAGCCACACACGCAACAGCTATCAGCGCCTCTGTCTAGGTACTGAGACAAGTGTAGAGGATCACTAAGGATGCAAGGCCTGAGCAAACGTGACCAGCAGACATCTGTGCCCTGCTCTTTGGTGCCCTGCCTGGCTCAAACAATTCCCCAGCTTAGTCCCTCAAGTGCTGGGACTACAGATGTGCTCCATAGCACCCAGCTAGAACATACATTCTCTTGGGAAAAAATCACTAATGGAGACCTTACAGTAGGACATAAAGCAAGTCTCAGTATATTTAAAAATACTGGAGTTTATCCTATCTGCCAAAACAGAATTAAATTAGAAATTGGTAATAAAATATATCTGGGAAAACTCAAAATATTTCAAAATTAATTTGAAAAAGCTCCCAAAAAGTCCCACTGGGGGCTGGGAAGGTGACTCAGTGGTAGAGTACTTGACTTGCATGCATGAGGCCCTGGGTTCGATTCCTCAGCACCACATAAGCTGAAAAAGCCAGAAGTGGTGCTGTGGCTCATGTAGTAGAGTGCTAGCCTTGAGCTGAAGAGCTGAGGGACAGCTCCCAGGCCCAGAGTTCAGGCCCTCACCAAAATGCAGCATTTTAAAAAAGCAGAAAAAAAGTCTCATTGTCCAAGTAGAAATTGCAAGAGAGATCAGGAATACTTCAAATTATATCAAATTTCCTGAGATGCAGCTAAAGCTGCCCATTACAGGAAACTGCATAGCTTTAAATGGATAACTTTGTAATTTATAGTGACCGGCATTTATGAAAGTGAAGTCATCCTGGAACTGAGGAGGCTGAGCAGGACAGCTGGGCAACACAGCAAGACTCTATCTCAAAATCAGTGATACACAGATGGTCAAAAGGCCCAAATGGTTGTTTTTCTCAGATGATAAATCACTTAAAGTAAAAACAACCATGGTTTAGCTAGTCTCCATGTTCCCACTGCAAACACCTCACCTTTTTCTATAGAAGCAGTTTCTTGATTCTGTTTTGTACAAGGGAGGGATGGAAGGCGGGAGGGAAGGAGGGAGGGAGG